GGGGGGGGGGGGGGGGAGGGAGAGGTAGCAGGCAAGAGCTGGTGGTCGCAGGGAGCTGGCTTTTAAGTTGCAACAAATAATCCAAAGTGTCCTGAATTCTGGCTAGCATTCAAACAAAACAAAAACATGTTTTCATTTGGCCAAATAAACAAACTTAGTGGAAGGTTTTCTGCTATTAAGCAGAAATCATAGAACCACTTCATCACCCCTTTTTCTTTGTCTGACCATGAAGCACACACACACTGAGGTGCAGACTGCTTAGCACTGGACGTCAACTTTGATCATGGTGTTAAGTCACTTGGTCAGGATAAATGGAAAGAACTATGGGAGGTAAAACACAGACCGAGAAGCGTGCAGAACACCGATTTGTAGCAAAGCAATCTGGTGCACTGCATATCAGTATGGCAAGAGCCACCTTCCGTTTGAAAGCCAAGAGTGAGTGGGATTAGGGGAAAAGCATATGTCAGTGCCGATCCAATTCAGATGGAAAGCATTTATTAAGGATTCCATGTGAGAGCAAAACTTGTTTTTGGTTGCAGTGTGCCCCATTTTCTGAACATGGCCTTCAATCTGCTGCACTTCATAGACTTGTGATTCTGGGAGAAATTTCTGCTTAAATGATCAACGAAGTTATTCTGAACATCTGTTAAGTGAGCAGATGTGGAGAAGTTTTCCCTTCTGCAAAACTGAAGTTATTGCTTCCTGACAAAAGTGGTTGAAGCAAGCTCCTCCTTGGTTGTTGAACATCTTTGCAAATACTGATCAGATTTAACCACTACTCTATGGAGACTCCAGAATGGGCAGTGGACAGTTCAGGACATATGCCAACGTCAAACATCCCTCAAGAGGATGAAGATGTAATCTTGCATGTTGGACCATATGTACATGCAGCCATATGACCTAACAACTTCAAGCATATATGGATCACAATTGAATGGTGAGAGCAAGGGACAGCCACAGGCGATGAACTGCATGAAATCATTCTCTCAACAGAAACTCCCTCAAAACTCAAGAGTCTAGGAGGGCTCCAGTGAATTATTTTTGTATGTTGCTATTGTGATGGCTGTCTATGCTTTGTTCACAGAGCCAGACAATTGAAGAGATGTAGCAGAAATTGGACTAGACTTGGTCTCTAGACTTTCCACTTCCTAATAAAACATCCAGATAAAGGAAATCCTTTCTTTCTAAGATATACTGTGTTAAGCTAATTAAGTGGGCTTGGTGTGCCCCATTCATAACTTTTGATATGAAAATGTGGATGTCAAAGTCAGGGGAAATTGGCTTTGTAGTGTGTTAACCACTTACTGTCTTTACTCAAGCCCAGGGTAACAGTGTCAAATTTGTAGGTGAATTCCAGTTCTGCAGTCTCGCTTTGTAATTGGGTGGTGAAATTCCTTTGTAGAAGTGTAAGCCGGTTAGGCTTTCCGGAGGGGTTCCTCCGCCTCAGTGGACAGCCACTCCACCCCACTCCCACCTGCTACTTAAAATAGTCCAAGTCAGTAAGTCTACAGCTGGCCTTGCTTCAGGGTGGGGTGAGAGGCTATAGTTCAAGTACCCGGCCCTACGCCGGTCTGGTTGGGGGCAACAGTCCAAGCGCCCGGCTTTACTTTAGATCGGGCAACAAAGGCCTCAGTTAGTAGGGCCCTAGGCCTGGTACAGGGCAGGGCAGGACAGGACATCAGTAATAGTCCCGCAGCTTTAAGAGGCCCAGGCTGGTCCCAGGCTGGGCAGCAAACACTCACACTTGTAACAGTTCTACATTCAGAAGGCCCAAGCCTAGTTCAGGAAGGCCGGCAAATAAACCCCTACAGTTTAACAGTTTGGAAGCCCCGGCCTTGCTTCAGGCGGGGCAATACCCTTAATTAGAAAGGCCCGGGCCCTAATTCAGGACAAGGCAGTAAGCAGCAGTTTGTAAGCCCCAGCCTTGCTTCAGGCAGGGCAGTAACTCTTAACAGTTTAGAAGCCCAGACCTGGTTCCCGGCTGGGCAGCAACAACCACAGCAGCTGTTCACAGGGGAGCCCACGCCGGAGTACAGGCGGCTGCAAACACACAGAGTAGTTCAGCAAAGGGGCAAGTCAGGCCCTGATTCAGGGCATGGTAACACACATAGGTTTGGGGGTCCCCTTGTTCAGGATGTAGGCAGGCAGGTCACCTGCAGCAGTGGTGAGGAGGAGACTGCCACCCAATGGGCGGGTGGCAGGGGGGTGCAGGCCCACCCACTCCACTGTGCACTGGCCCAGGATGCAGCAGAACAGCTGCTACTGGCTCAGCAGGGGCTCCAGCTCGCAACGTGGTTTGCAAGGTTCCAGGGATCAGGCAGGCATCGGGGTTCGAACAGGTTCACCAGCTTGGGCAAGCCCTCAGGGTCCCTGGATGTCCGCAGGCATCGGGGCTCAAGCACATCCGGCTCAGGCAAGTCCTCAGAATCCCCAGGCACCAGCAGGGCCTCTGGTTCCTCTGGGTCAGAGGGTAGCTCTGCTGGTCAGGCCTTGGTGGCCCAGGCAGGAAAGTCTTCACCGGCCTTACGGAAAGAGGCTATTGGAGGCCCAGGCCAGGTCTCAGCCTTGTCGGCCAGGAGCTCTGGGCAGGCCTCTGTCTCCTTCAGAGGCTGGGCCCTGACTGAGCTCCCTGGCAGAGTTCTTATAGTCTTAGATACGCCCCTTGGCTTCCTGTGCCCAAAATGGCTCCCGGAGGGGTTCCTCTGCCCCTCCCTGGGACAGCCACTCCACCCCCCTACAAGAAGAATGGCTACTTTTAAATCCATGACTGCAACCAGGTAGGTTAAAATGTTTCTCTACAGGTTTGTGTGTGTTTTCCATTTCTGATGTCTGATTTGTATCCATTTATCCTTTGACATAGAGACTTTCTGGTCTGGCCAATATACATGGTGGAAGTGCACTGCTGGTACTTGATGGCATCTATCACATTAGAGGATGTGCAATTGTATGAACCCCTGATATTGTGGCTTATGTGGTTAGGTCCTACGATGGTGTCGCTTGAATAGATATATGGACGGTATTGTCAATGGATTTTGTTGCAGGCATAGGTTCCTGGGTGATGTATGGCTGTTGGGAAAGGATTTGCTTCAAGTTGGGGGGCAGAGGAGAGGGTATGTGTATGTATGTGAGGATTGGCCTGTAGGTGACAGTGGTGTTCTGATGTTTTTCTTGTTGTGTCTGTCTTGAAGTAGGTGACTTCTGGGTACTTGTCTGGATCTGTAAATCTGTTTTTTCACTTCCCTGGGTGGGTATTTAAATTTTAAGAATGCCTGATAAAGCTCTTGCAGGTGTTGGTCTCGGTCTGTGGGAGTGGAGCAAATCCGGTTGTAACTTAGGGCTTGGCTGTAGACAGCAGATCATGTGATATGTCCTGGATGGAAGCTAGAAGCACATATGTAAGAATAATGGTCAGTAGGTTTTAGGTATAGGGTGATGTTTATGTTACCATCATTTATTTGTACTGTAGCTTCAAGGAAGTGGATCTCATGTAGAGTGGTCTAGGCTGAGGTTGATGGTGGGGTGGAATTTGTTGAAATCCCTGTGGAATTCAAGTATCTTCTTCCTGTGGGTCCATATGATGAAGATGTCATCAATGTAGCGTAAGCAAAGGAAGTGTGCTAGGGGATGAGAACTGAGGAAATGCTGTTCAAGGTTTGCCATAAAAATATTGGCATATTGCAGGACCATGCGGGTGCCCATAGCAGTGCACTGACTTGAAGGTATAAATTGTTCCCAAATTGGAAACAGTTGTGGGTGAGGACAAAGTCACATAGCTCAGACATCATGCAAATATATATTTGGTAAATATGCATGGAGCTGAGGACAGGCCAATGGGAAGCACTGTGTACTGCTAATAGTGACCTGCTACTACAAACCTCAGAAACTTCCTCTGGCTTGGAAAAGCTGCCACATGGCAGAAAGCATCCTGAAAATCAATGGCAGCAGATCAGCTGTGCTTCAAAATGGGGAGAACAGTAAGGTAACCATTTGGCATCTCATGCATTTGATGTACTTGTTGAGAACATGGAGATCAAGACTAGGTTTCACCCCTCCACTGGATTTAGGGATCAGGAAATATTGTGAATAGAATCTCTTTCTGTGATGTTGCAAGGGAAACACCTCACTATCTCCTGAAACTTGAAGTCTGGACTTGTTAAAGGAGCAGCGACTTATGAAAGGATTTCCTGAAAAAGGATGTAGTGGGGTGGAATGTGGGAATGAACACAAATTGGATGATTTAACTGACTCCCAAAGTGCTTAGAACCCATTTGTTCTTGGTTACTGTTTCTCAAGCATTGTAGAAGCAAGACAGCCTGCTCCCAAATGGAGGAGCTATAATTTGGTAGATAAAGACCAGAAGGCAGCTCTCAATATGCAAGTCAAAATGGCTGCTTGCTTCAAGCTCATCGAAGACAGGATGGCTAGTTAAAATTTGACTCAAAAGATCTCCTACTCTGTGACTTATGCTTCTACCTGGAGAAGTCTTACTGCTTAGCATGCTAGGACACTGCTGGAAGTATCAATCAGAATGCTACTGCTTCTGCTATTGATGATCTCCAAGATATCTTTTTACAAATAAACCCTCAATGAAAGCAAAGTAGCCCAACTGGGACTGCTGTACTCAGAGAGTTCACCACTCACTGCAGCCCAGCTGGGAGTTGGGACGCCTCAAACTTCCCACTCCACCGACTCCGTATTTCCCTTCTGATCCCTTATTTCCCTCATCATCTTACCTTCTATCATGACATGTCCTCTCCAGGATCCAGGAAACACCTAATTAGTGGAGCCATCCCTATGTACCTCCATTAATTAGGTGCACAGCCCTTCGCCCCCTTGTATGCAGCTGCCGAGTTATACACCTTAGAGAGAACTATGCTCCTGAGGTCAATCTTGTAAAGGCTCCAAGCAGGCTAGTGGTAATGAAGGAATCCCTCCAGGAAGAGGCAAATAAACATTCAGCCTCATTTGAAGCCCAATACAGAGATCACATTGGTACCAATAACGATAAAGTAGCTGGAACCTTGGGCCCTGGTGAGGGCATTGCATTCACAATCAGCATCAAAACAGACATAGGTAATGAACTTGAGACTGGTATTAATATTGTAGCTGTGGTCTGCATTGAAACAGCTATTGGTACCAAAGACAACATGAATTCATGAGCCCCTTGGTACTGAGAAGGAGTCTAACCTCCTAACTGTATCCTGAGGATTAAGCAGTGAGGAAGATGGTGCAGTTGATTACAGTTCTGCAGCCTGTCCAGTTAACATTGGGGACAGAGGAGGCCATTACAGTTGCATGCTTCTGAATTAATGGAGAGTCAGGAACAGAAAAGCAGAGCAAGTCCTATGCTGCCTGGTGTGCCAATGGTATGGAAAGTGTCAGTGTGGATGCTAATGTTGTTGGTACTGGACTCAACAAATGCCTTATAAATAATTCTGGAATTGATGGTACTGTGTCCAAACTGATCTCGTCTCAGTTTCAGATAGTGGGTTTTGACCCAACCCTATCCTGGGCATCTGAGCAAACATAATGCTGGTCTGCACTCTTGGAAGAAGAGGAGAAATCTATCTGATTTCTGAAGCGGCCCCTAATGAGAAGCCTTTTCCTTGGCGGACCAGAGGAAGAACAATCTTTCTTCATCCTGGGGGAGCAATCAGAATGCTAGTTCCAAAGCTCTCTGAGGGGCTAGCTCATCTGGAGAGGTCCCTGGTGCCAAAACAACATAGCCTGGTCCACAAGATAATGTTTCAGATTCAAATCTCTAAAGAAAAGTACTTAATCAGCAACTCATTCCAAAGAAGAATGAAGATGTCTTTAATGTGATATTTCTCAAGGCACAATAAACATAGTGTTGGGTTCACTATGAAGAACAGCCATCTCACATAACAAGCAGAGTTCAAAACTTGAAGGTATCACACCAGACCAAACTTAAGGGTACTACTAGAACTATATACACAAGAAAAGCATGGTGACAGAGAAACATGAGATAAAATACCACATGGATACACTGATTCAAGCTATGGCAGGTGAGAAGGAACTGTGTGGGGAGGTCAGGGCGGTGCTACCCTTAAATAGCTACATGAGAGTCTACAAGGGCCAAAGTGTGCAAGCATCACCCTAATGGGCTCTACTAGGCAAAGTTCCCTGGCTTTAGCACGCTGAGTGCATGCACACCGGGGGGCAGGGAGAGAGATAGACTTAACAAAAAAAACAAAAACAAAAGAAAACTTAAATTATGGAGAGTTGATAGGAAGTTTTCTTAAGCAAGTGCTACTTGCTCTAGTGGATTTTTCAAGCCCTGAGATCTGCAGATTTAACAGAGTTTGTTGTTCCTGCTAAATGTTTTAAACCAGGGATGGGGAACATAAGCCCTGGGGGCCAGGTACAGCCCCAGGCTTTCCTGGATCTCGCCTCCAAAGCTCAGGGACAGGAGCTCAATCACTACCTTCCCCCAACCGTACCATGGAGCTGAAACACACAAAATCTACTAGCTTGGGACCCCCAGGGTCTGGTGTGCCAGGGGAATGTGGGGAGTGTCTTTCTCCTCAGTCAGGAGCCATGTTAATGAAGTTTTTTCCCCTTCTCACTTGTGTGCCGTCCCTAACAGATTTTTTGTGGGTCAATGTCCCCCAACCCAAAAAAGGTTCCCCAACCCCGCTTTTAAACATTTTTTCTAAGGTTTGCATTACTAAGGTCCTCAGTTAAAACAGTGCACAGAGAAACAAAATGCAGCATTCTAAAAATTATATGTGAATACACTGGCAGAAATAGGGAAGAAAGAAAGATTACATGAAAAAAGCATTTTTATAACATGAACAACAAACATGGAAAACCTAACTAGCCAAAATAATTTCTGTCATGTTTCCTAAGATAAAGTTTGCTTCAAGTTCTAGGAAAGGACTGTTATTCACTGAATAATCTAAGTTTACTTCTATGTTACAAAGACTCCCAATACTATAAATACTATAGTAATTCAGGTGTTCAATGAAATTCATATTGAGCTAAAAACACTGTCCAAATGGAAGGTTTTAAACCAGTGATAAAAAAGAAAAGAATGCCTATGTGGTGACTTTTTAAACCACAATATGTTGCATATGTGTTACATATGCTTGGCAGGTACATTTAAGTCATCAACTTAATTACTGCGATGGGATTGTCAAAAGAGCTAAGCATTAGCTTAACTTTTGTCCTACTGAAGTTAATGATGAGACTCCTAATTGATTTCAAGGAGTGCAAAATTAGGTTCAATCCCAGTGGTTTTGGAAATTCCACCCCTTGGTATCTAACTAAAGTTCAAAGAGTAATAAAGGTCAGCTTGACTTAAATAATACGATTAGAACTTAGATATTTTCATAGGATAAATGCCTACTGTTGCTTTTGCCTTGGCACATATTTTTTCAAAGTACATTATACTTATTCTGTGACATTTTAGAATACAGGCAGTCCCCGGGTTACATACAAGATAGGGACTGTAGGTTTGTTCTTAAGTTGAATTTGTATGTAAGTCAGAACTGGTACATATTGTAGGGGAAACTCTAGCCAAACATTTCTCCAGAGCTCAGTTTTATTCTCCCACACCTCACTTCCCTCAGTCCTTTATTCTCAAGCGGAGGTGTCTGCTGAGAAAAGCCGCTCCACGTCTCCCTGGTCTGCTGGGGGAGGCACTAGCTTCGCGTCTCCCTGGTCTGCTGGGGGGAAGCAGCTAGTGCGGGGTTGCCTCACCCCGTTTGTAAGTAGGGATCCGATGTAAGTCGGATCCATGTAACCCGGGGACTGCCTGTACTCTTTTTCTATTTAATACTATATTAATAAGATAACACATATAGATGGATTCACTGTGCTTAGGACAAGAACCAACTGAAGTGATCATTATGCACTATGACTAATGTCAGTGTTCAAAAGCACTGACATCCCATTTTCCAAAGTGACTTAGGCCCTCAGGTAGCCTTTAAATGAGATTTACGCTTGTGAGTGCCTAAATCCCATTTGAAAATGAGGTTTTGGTTTCTAAACCGTAACAAGGCTAAATCGCTGTAAGGCTGAGCACAATAACACTTTAAAAATATGGGCTGTCAGGCTCCTCTGAAATTTTACCCAGTGTCTTAAACCACCAGACCTTGATTGGTTGTTAACAATAGACAAAATCTGCATTTCAGCTAACAAAAAAACAGATTATTTAGAAAAGCCCAGGCTATTTTTAGAAAGCTAATATGTAACACACATGCTCTCGCATTTCAGTTTATTAGTAAATTAGGGTCAGCTACAGACTGTATTATTATTACTTTGTGTTAATAAGCTTCTGTTTGTACCAAAAAATGAAAATATATACACAAATACTGTGAGGCTTGATCCAAAGCCCATTGAAGTCAGTTGGAATCTTTCCCACTGACTTCACAGGGCTTTGGATCAGGTCCTTGGATACTCCTTTTCTCTTAGTTATTATAAAATACTAATTATTACTGGACTAAAAGATGCCATTTTTACCTGAGGTACTTGTGATATTTGCTGTACAATCTTTAGACAGGATGCAAGAAGGAGAGAGAGAACTTTTTTGAAAAGGAACAGATCGTGCTACAGAAAATAGCAAGAAAAAAAGCATAGTGATTATGAAGAAAATTGCACACAACAGAATCCTGGACAAACTATTAACAACAACAGAAAGCCAGCCCAAATTTCTGGAAACCATGTAAAATACTGCATAAACAACGAGAAGTCCTGTGGCACCTTATAGACTAACAGATTTATTGGAGCATAAGCTTTTGTGGGCAAAGACCCACTTCGTTAGATACATCTGACGAAGTGGGTCTTTGCCCATGAAAGCTTATGCTCCAATAAATCTGTTAGTCTATAAGGTGCCACAGGACTTCTTGTTGTTTATGCAGATTCAGACTACCCCTCTGATACATGTAAAATACTATGCTTTTCAAAATTCATATCTAGTGTGATCTTAACTGAATAAAAGTAGAAAACACTGAATTTTTCTGTTTATTCCTGATTGTGGGAAAATTTTCAAAGCATCAATTTTAATAATTGAAACATGGAATACTTCCCACAATAACCTATTGCAACAGAAGTAATTTGTCTAGATAATTGCAATGCAGTAAGCCATTTACAGGGAAATGTAAGGATATGCAAAGATTGTTTCCATTATCCCTCTGTTTTTAATGTCATGTCTCATTAAAGTAATTATTTTCAGATATTTGCCAAGGTTCAAAATACCAGTTCAATGTAAAAATACGTTTTTGTAATATGTAAAGAAAAATAACAGCACCTTTTTGATAAAGGAAATGTTTACATTTCTAACAACCCAATTTATGTTTGGAAACAGACTATTTTAGCTCCTGATTTAAAAGATGTCCTTATAGACAGGAGAGTAAAATCATAATTTCAAAATTGTGAAAACAGTGGCCCATTTTTTCCCCATTAACATCAGATCATTTTGGGAAACATCCAGTGATGCGTACTTGGATGTCACTGCAGGAAATTTTCCTCCTGGGTTGCCTAATTTCCTTGCAAGAGACTTAATTTAAGGTAAGTTCAGCTTTTAACTTAATGTATTTTAAAAAATTAACAGATGTAGTGGACAGTGTCTAATTACCACACCTATTAAATCTTTACATTATATTATAAAGTTAAAAGCCCAACAGACATATGTAAGAAGATGGGCAACCCATCAAGCTACTTCCTGCAATTAGTTTCCATTGTTTTTCATAAGGTCCTTCTACAAGGAACCTGAAAATAGAGAAAAATAAAATCCATTCATTATTTTAAAGTCAAGGCAATTTATAAGAAGTGCGTAGGCAAGGTAAGAATAGGCTTCATTTTAAGAATGCCTATAATTATTATAGTAATAGAGATGTAGCTGTGTTAGTCTGATCTTGCTGAAACAAAAGAAAGAACTATGCAGCACTTAAAAGACTAACAAGATGGTTTATTAGGTGATGAGCTTTCGTGGGCCAGACCCACTTCCTCAGATCAAATTCTGGAAGAGAATTGGCATGACCATATAGGAAGTGGGTCTGGCCCACAAAAGCTCATCACCTAATAAACCATCTTGTTAGTCTTTTAAGTGCTACAATTATTATGATAGAAATGTTAATTACGCCTTACATGGATTACTCCTACCTATATATGCATGCTTCATTTTATCCTTCTATGCACAAGATCTAATGGAGAAGAAAAGTTGGAATGGCACTAGCATTAAAAAGGAAGGTCTGAGTTCTTCATTCATCTTGTAACAGATTACTGACTGTTCCCTTTAAGGTTACATAGGGCAACCTTTTTACACCCAAGATCACTTTTTAAATGACAGAACAAGCCGAGTTCTATCGCCCTGCCCCTTCCTTGAAGCCCCGCCCTCTCTGTTCGCCTCCTCTCCATCACTTGCTATCCCCTAGCCTTACTCTACTGCTTCCCCCCCCCTCCCATTCTTCTGTAGAAAGAAGTTTTTCCAACATTTGGCCTGTCTAGACTAGACCAAATGTTAGAAAACCCCCTTCTTTTGGAAGCCCCCTTATTCCTCATGGAAAGAGGAATATAGGGGTGACCAAAAGATCATGTTTGCTCTTCCACTAAAAGAAGTGGAAGAACAAACACATCCCTGGATGCAGAAGAGATTTTCTGGGTTATCTCCAGAATCCTGAAAAACTCCTGCAGTCTAGACGTACACTCGCTGGGATGAGACAGGATGTGTAGGCTCCGGGATGGAAATGAGGGATTTGGGTGCAGAAACAAGTGAGAGGTGCAAACTCTGGGAGGAAATCTGGACGCAGGAGAAAATGGATAAGGGAACGCTGGTTTGAGGAGGGAGTTCCAGGCAGGGCAGTGTTGGGATCAGATGTAGGGTTAGGGTACTAAGTAAGCCACAGACTTCTGGATGTGAGGGTTCAGGAATTTGGGTTGGGGTTTGCGAGGGGCTCAGGGCAGGGGGTTCCAGTGTATGATAGGCTGAGATATAGGGTCTGGGAGAAAGAGGAGTGCAGGAGTGACATGATGCTATGGCCAGATGGGGGCTTGGCCCCAATTGGGGGTTTGTTGGCCAGGCTTCATTTTCAAATAAAATACTATGTCAAACACAAAAAGTTTCTGCATTGTCTTTATTTCTGAGAAGGGCAGGGAACCTGTTTGGACAGGGTGCGAGTGGGGGACAGGTTTCTGTGGCTGGGGACGGGAAAGGGGACAGTGTGCCAGTGGGAACAGGTTTCTGTGGCTGGGGACGGGAGAGGGAACAGCAGAGAGTGGGGGCAGAGAGTCTCCTGCTATCGTCTCCTCCCAGGTTTTTCTCCCCCCCCACCCCCCGATGGAAGCCGGAGCGTGCCTCCCGTAGCGCAGCCAAACCTCCGCAGGCGCCTGCCCCAGGGCCAAACCTCCCTCCCATGACAGGGCCAAACTGCCACAGGAGCCTGCCCCTCCGCCAAGCCACCTCTCCCATGGTGGGGCCAAACCCTCCTCCCGCAGCGGGGCTAAACCACGGTGGGAACCTGTCCTGGGGCCAAGCTGCCTCTCCCGCAGCGGGACCAAACCACTGCAGAAGGCTGCTCTGGGGCCAAGCCGCGTCTCCCGTGGCGAGGCCAAACCCCCACGGAAGCCTGCCCTGGGGCCAAACCCCCCTCCCGCCACACGGACAAACCCCTGCGGGAGCCTCCCCGGGCCAAACCCCAGGGCCGACCTCTGCGCTCAACTCACCGCTCCCAGGGAAGCCACCGCACTCCTCCTCCGGGGTCGACACCCCCTCCCCCAACACATGACAGAGCTGTGGGAGGGGAGCAGCCAGCGCACTTCTGGAGCTCCCGGAAGTGACACGGGCTTCACCCAGGACTTCTGTCCACCCCGCAGGAAGCCAGCACTACACTAGAGGTAGGTAGTGGAGCTTCTCGGGGGTGGGGTGAAAATGGAGGGTAGGGGTGTCCAAACACCTCGTGATCAACTGGTCGAGGCCTCACGATCGACCAGTCGATCATGATTGATGGGTTGGTGACCACGGGACTAGAGGCTAGTTAATCTGTTCCATACCATGTCACTCTAAAGTTCCTGTGATTTTTTGAGTGGACAAACATCTGGCAAAGGACAAAGCAGGTGTAGGGAGAAAGGAAGTTGGTCCTGGTGGAAACCATTGATGAAAACAGACTACTGTTTTTTTAAGGACCCAGAACCAAAAGCCTTGTAGTGTAGGAAAGGTTAAGGCTCCCCTACTTCCCAGACCTCCTCCTGGTTGGTTGGGAAAAAGGGCAGGATATATGCTACTTTCTCTCTAATAAACAGGACATACATCATCGGGGAAGGATAGCTGCCTGCTGACCTCTCCCAGTTCAGGGAATCTTGAAGGCTATAGTTGGCCTGAATTAACACAACCCCAACAGGAGGACTATAGGTCTCCTGAACCCTGGAGAGGAAGCCTACCTGGATCAACAAAGTCCCAGCAATGAGGGCTATGGGACTCCTGAGCCTGGGAAGAGAAGTTTGCTTGAATTGTAGCATGGGCCCCTAGGAGGGTGGCTCTGGGACTTCTGAACCAGGGAGAAGTTGGCCTTGTGGAACTAAAGAAGAATTTTGTACTCTGTAAAAGAGGTAATGAGTCAGACTCCACAGAAAAGGGGATCTTGTTAAAACTCAGATCTGGGAGTCAATTATTGCAGAGAACTCAGGAAACTGAGGACAGGGTACCTACAAGGTCACCCCAGACCACAACAGGGTGCTCTGTAGGCAATGATCCAGTTACACTATTCTAAAAAAATAAGGGGGAACATCTGATGAACAGAGACGAGTGAGGGAGCAGGAAGAGCCCCACAGATTATGTGGGCTATAACCAGGGGAAATAGTACTTACAGAAATCAGTAACATTAAGTGGATTACAGAGGAAACAGGAAGAGCTAAGCACAGTGCTAACAAAAATGAATTCTGCTTTCAGTTTATTCAGATGCTCAAAGATTGAACATACCTACTTATAGTACTCCATACACTCACCCGGTATCCTGCTGTATGTACAAGTTATATCATATGAATGAGAAACATGTTTCAAAGCACTCTCTAATGTGAATCCCTTCCAATAGTAAAATAATACCAAAAAACCCAAAGGAAGTATTTATAATAAACACTTATGAAATTTATAATATACTAGCATCAAATATTTTACCCGATGATGTCAATGAAGCTGAAGAAGATGAATCAAGAGAAGTGGCAAAGATTGGATCCCATGCCAGGAGGTCATTGTTCCCCTTCCTATTGTAACAGCCAAAATTGGAAAATAAATACAAAGTGTACATATTTATAACAACCAAATCACTGAAGTGACTTGTATGTTCTAATCAGTCTAATAAGAACCTTCCTGCCACAAAAACATTCTGTTGGACAAATGTAGGTCAAAGGGCTGGTTTATACACAGGCTTGCACCAAAAGAACTAAATTTTTACATTTACACTTGTTATTTTGGTGCAACTTGTGTGAGGGAAGAAGTTACGCAGCACGTGCAGTAACGATGGTTCTTTGAGATGTGTGTCCCTGTGGATGCTCTACTCAGGTGTTGATGCGTCTTCGTGCCAGCCATCAGAATTTTTTTTTTTTTGCCTACCAGTGCTTTCCTGTGCTGGGCATGTGCAGCAGCCATCTTGTGCAGTTTTCATCTGCTAGCTGTGCACACAGTGCAAATCTCCCTCTGTTCCTTTTCTATCGGAAATCCGGTAATGGACTCCAAAGCAGAGGGGAGGGAGGGCAGTGGAGTACCCATAGGAACACACATCTCCAAGAACCATTGTTATCGCACAAGGTGAGTAACTTCTCCTTCGAGTGGTGTCACTTGTGTGTGCTCCACTCAGGTGAGTAAAAAGCAGTGCGCCTACCTTTGTGGAGGTGGGACTTTGGAGTCATCTACTGGCAGAGACAAGGACGGCGTTGACCATGGAGGTGGTAAGTACTGGTCCTTGCAGACCTGCATAATATTGTGCAAAAGTGTGCGTGGAAGACCATGTAGCCGCCCTGCAGATGTTGGCTAGCAGGAAATTTATGTAGAAAGGCAGTGGATGCAGCCATCACTTTGGTGGCATGTGCAGTGATTGCTTGCAGTGTCAGTTGGGAAATTCTAAACTGGAGTCTAGCCGAGGAATAGATTTTACTCCTGAAGAGGTCTAGTCTTTAGTGCTCCTTGTCCTGGGGAGCTGACATATTGTGGTTGTCTGGACTGGTGGTGGACAGAATTCACAACCAAAGAATTTGGCTGGGGATAAGAAAACAGAAAGTCCATGTCCATAGCCAGGACAAAATATTTTCTTTCGGCTCTACAGTTGGTGGGTGGAATAGAGGCTGGCATTTGTCATATGGCTTCCAAGAGTTCCATGATGGTCTCATTTATCAGTAGTGCAATCTTAGAGGATGTGGAAGATTGTAAAATTTTCAATAGCTTGTGCTGGTTTTCTTGCACCTCTTGTAAAGGTATATTTGTGACTTAATTATCCATTTGAATAACTCCTGAAATTGTTTCAGGTCATCAATCGGAGGAGAACAGGAGGACGAGAACACCACTTTATCTGGGGAAGACAAGGATTGCTGGAAAGAAGACTGGCTGTCTGAGTCTGACTGAGGTATGTCATTGTCCTCCTCTACTGGACTGGTTTGAGTTGTGGCTGACAGTGAAGGTTGGGGGAGGGTGTGTGAGATGGGGAGGATTGAATCCTCTTTGGTGGAGATTTTGCTAGAATGTGCGTCAGGGTAGGTGCAGTTGAGTGACAAGATCAGTGTTGATGAGGTGGTGGAGAATGGTATTGGCCCAATGGTTCTCAGGGTGGCCACTGGGGTTGGTATTGTTGGGCTGGATATGGACATGGGGGGTGGAGCCGAGGGAACTGGGGCGCATGGCAAGAGGATCTGTGCCTGCCTGAGTACCACAAGCTCACTGAAGCTGTTGGTGAGGAAAGACAAATGTCCTGGTCCAGGTCCAGTACCCGTAGATGATGGCATAGGAGAGAATGAAATACTGTTGGAAGAACACTGGTGCAAACTAGGTTCTACAATCCTAGGGAAATGGGGAGGAATCTTATCAATCAGCACCAGTAAGTAGGACACCAGACGCCGAGACTGTGATTCACTCTATTTAGGCTTTGGCACCTACGGGAAACCAATCAAGGGGAGAAAAACCAGGAAGTACCTCCCCCCCGAAAACAGTAACTATTAACACTAACCTGAATAAACCACAACTAACTATATATTTCTATTTTTTTTTCAGCTGAGGAGAGCACTGCTGGAAGCTCTGTCTTCTGGTGAGGATGGTAGAAAAGGAACTGAGGGAGACGCACGCCGCATGTGCAGCTAACGGATGAAAACAGCTCAAGATGGCTGTGGTGTGGGAAGGCACTGCTAGGTTAAAAAAATCTCTGATCGCTGGCACAAGAACCACTGACACTTGAGTGGAGCATCCACAGAGACACCACTTGAAAGAGAACTCTTTAAGGATAAAAGTGTGCTATTTCCATATACAACAAAATATGTTAATTAAAACTGATTTAGTTATTTCAGTAAAACTTGTATATGAACTAGCCCAAATCTTGACCTTACCAAATTTGTGTTCCTTACAATTTATGGTAGCTTCTAGATGAATTCAGAATGTTAGCAGATTTCTTTTACTTTTAGATTTTAATATCATTATTTTATGACTAAAAAAATTATTTGAGACAATCAAAGTGAAAAAAATGAATAGCTAAAAAAGGGCATGTGTATGAAGAGAAGAGAGGCAAAAATTCAATTCTTAGGAATCACTAAACTCATCACAAAAACCGGATAGCTAAGTACAGCAATAGCTTTCTTAACCCTGCATTAAAATAAAACTAAAGCCCCCACAAAAATGTAATTCAATATAATGCCTACATTTTAAATGTGGAACTTACTCATTAGATGGAGCAGAATGCTTTGATTTTGTTAACTCTTCACCTAATTAAAAAAAACACGCCTATTATGACAAATGAAAGCTGTGAAATTTGATGAACAAAATCAGTCAGCTTCGTGATAAAAACAATCTGGGATGATTATAGCTGCAATCAAAATAATTCAGAATTGTTGAAATAGAAAGGATGATATGTTATGTGATGTTATAGTCAGCATCTTCTGAAATACCTTCTAAAAAGGAGTTAACATAAAAATGAAGGCTATTTTTGTTAGGAGAAATCTTGGTCCTTTGAAGTATCTCTTTATAGGATGTAATGTAAGTCAATTTCACTCTTTTGCATTTTTATGTCTCTACTACCACAGAAAAAACTTTATTTTTAGCAGATGTTACTGGTCATTTATGTTTTCCAGGAAAAGCACATTAAGGTGTGAGCACTAGATACTTCACAAAAGCTATACTCATGAACTAGGATTGAAGTGCATTATCATGCAGCATTTCAAATTTATTTTCTGACTACTTCATATCATGGCCTTCTTTGAAGTAATTTACACTGTGTACATGTCAGTGGAGGAATTAAAACTTCTCAAAATGCATGGGAGCCTGCTTTCACATCTTTAACAAACAAGCACTCTAAAGAACAACTCCTTTCCGAGGGGCTGGAATTGCCACTAGGATTAGTCCACCCACCCTTTCCTTCATGGACTAGAATTCTCCATTTTAAGAGGGAACTCCTACTGTTCCAATGAGAATCCAGCAAGGGACTGCAGTTGCCACACTTCCATGCTGCTCACTCAGTTGACCTCA